CCTTGAGTTCCACTCAGACAGGTTTGGGCAGTTGGGTGAATCATTTGGCTACATTGCCCAGGGCTGGGAATGATTTGAAAGTAAATGACCAGATCAAAGTCACAGTAACTCAGCTCCTCATTAGAATAGGTCCATCTCTCATTATAATATTCATTCTCTGTCATTAGTCGTTAACCAATCTGAGTCAATTGCCACCCTGAGGAATACCCACTCTTCTAAGAGCATGTAAGCATCGAGTAGGTTCCATGAGGGGTCTTTGGCATTCGAGAGTGCCACTGACCCTTTTATTAATTATTGCTAGCATCATTAATAAAGTGACTAATTACCTAGAAATCGTCTCTCGAACTTTTTATACATCACACATATACCACAATTTGTTTAGCCATCTGCCAGGTGATGGGCACCCACTTTGTTTCCAGTGTTTTGCTGCTACAAAATTACTCATTATAAATATTTCCCAGGTGTTCATGGGAACTTTCTGTCTCTGGCCTCTTGGGAGTAGATCTCAGCTTATCTTAAAAATTCAGCCTAGCCTCAGTTTGTATATATTCACTTAGGTCCCTGACTAACCAAATTAGGTGATAATTAAATTTATCCTAATAGATGATTTGCATATGTTTATGTTACAGATCCTTTGTAGGAACCAAAATAAAATGTCAAGGAAACCACACTTTGAAGGAAAGGCAAATGCTTTTTAATAAACGTCTTACTCACGGATAACAAATGTTTACTGAGAAGTTAGCAAAAAGAACAACAGAATTTTTTTGTATGTTTTTAAGAGGTTTTCCACTCTACACTAAATCCTATGGTCACAGAATACCAAAACTGGGAGGAATCTTAGGGTTCATATAGTTCAACCCTTTTATGTTCCAGAGAAGGCAAAGAAGGCACCAAGAAGGAATTTGATTTGGACAAGGTCACATTCCACTCCCCAGCTCAGGAAGTTCTAAAAGCTCCCTTTGGCCTTGAAGATAAAATACAAGCTCTTCTGTTTTGGCTTTTAGAACCCTTCACAATCTGTCTTCAACCTGCCCTCACTTCACATTACTCCTCCTTACGTACTTCATATTCCATTCTGTCCACCCTACGGGGACACTCCCTCTCCCATCTCAAAGCCTTTGTACAGGCTGATCTCCAGGCCTGGAACACTTTCCTCCGTACTTCTGGCTCTGAAATCCCAACCTTCCTTCAGGACTCTGCTCAAGGACATTTCCTACCCAAGACCCATCTTTATCCCCACAGTTGGTACTGCTCACCCCCTCCCCCTCCCTCTCTGTCTCTCTCTCTGTCTCTCTCCCCTCTCCACCCATACACACACATATACATACATGTATATATATAAAAATATATATATACACTCTGTGTATATATATACATACTCTGTGTGTGCTATGTATGCATTCTATATATATAATATATATACTTTCTATATATAATACACACTACATATACTCTCTATATATGTACATACATATGTTATATAGGAATAAAATATCTATATACTCTCTGTATATATTCACACATATATGTACTATATATACATTCTTTACATATACACATATACTCTATATACTGTCTCTATATAATACACACTATATGTTCTTTCTATATACATATATAGATATAAATAAAAATATATACTCTGTATATATATACACACACATACTATATATGTGGACTATATATACATTCTCTACCTATACTATATACACTGTCTATATATTATGTATACACTATATATTTTTTCTCTATACACATATATACATATAGAGATATAAATAAAATATATACTCTGTCTCTCTCTCTCTATATATGTATATATACACACATACACATACTATATATGTGGACTATATATACATTCTATACCTATACTATACACACTGTCTATGTATCATGTACACACTATATGTTCTCTCTATATACACATATATGCATATAGAGATATAAATAAAATATATACTCTGTATATATATACACATATTATATATGTATACTACATATAATTCTATACATATGCATACACACATGCACACACGCTATCTATAGACTCTCTATACACACACAAAAATATATATGTGATATCTTATATCTCTTCATCTTTATGAATATCATTTTCCTTCAAAATAATACAAATTCCTTGAGGGCAGACGCCGTGTTGTTCTCATTTTTGCACTTCCTGGTGCCTAGCCCAGAGCCTGACACATAGTAGGTGCTTAATAAGTGAGATCAATAGCAGAGTTGGTACCGTCTCTGGAAGTGTGAAATGTACACAGTTGTTTGTTCAATCAATCTAATAGCATTAATTAAGCACCTGTTACGTGTCAGGCACAGTGCTAAGTTCTGGGAATACAAAGAAGGGCAACAAGCCAGTCCTTAGCCTGGGAAGCTTCAGCCTGTGCCACGCACATTCTCAGCCCCATCCCCGGCCCACTTCTAGGAAAAGTAGAAGTCCCATGACATCACCGAGGATTTCTCATTAGATGGGATTGTTATTTGTCCTTCGTTCTCGAAAAGGACCAAGACATCGGGAAGGTGATGCCATGACAAGCCAGTGAACTGGATTTAAGTGAGGGAGGGCTGTGCAAAGTCACCAGCCTCACTTTCTTCTCCAGAGCCATCTGGGTCCAGTGGCAAGACATGCATCAGGACACCTGGAGATGCCCACCTTAGGTGGGATTAGGCGATAGATGATGGATTTTGAGTCAGAAGTCACAGAAGCACCATCTATAATATCTCCAATGATGGCCACTTAACCTCCCCTTGAAGACCTCCGATGATGGGGAACTAACCATGTCACAAGGCAGTCCATGCTACTTTAAAGCAGTTCTAATTTTTAGCAAGTTGGTTTCTTTGTTCTTATTTATTATGTGGGGCCAAAGTATATTTCTCAGGGCAGCTAGGTGGCACGGTGGATAGAGCACCAGCCCTGTATTCAGGAGGACCTGAGTTCAAATCCGGCCTCAGACACATAACACTTACTAGTTGTGTGACTCTGGGCAAGTCACTTAACCCCAATTGCCTCGCAAACAAATAAACAAACAAAAAAAAAAACCCTAAGTATCTTTCTCCACCACTCCCTCACCTTACTCCTGGTCCTATTCCTTGGGGCCAAACACAATAAATCTAAACTTTTCTCCTTGTGACAGCCCTTCTGGTACTCAAATGCAATCATCCTGTCCTCCTTCAGTCTTTTTTTCATAGACTGATTTTCCAATTGGTCTCCCTTCCTCACATCTCTCCAGACTCGAATCCATCCTTCTCATAGCTAACAAAGTGAACTGCCTAAAATATAGGCCTAACCATGGGATTACAACTCAGTAAGTCCCACTCCCTCCAAGATCAAGCATGAAATCCTCTGTTTGGCATTAAAAGCTCTTTCCAACCTGATCCATTCCTACCCTTCCAGTCTTCTTACATTTCCCTTCCCTAGACGTCTATGATGCAGCTCTTCTCGCATGCAATTTCCCAACTCGGAGCATCCTCAGACAGTCCCCCATGCCTAGAATTCTCTCTCCTCGCTGACTTCCTTCAAGACTCCATGTAAATCCCATCTTCTTCATGGGGGGGGGGGAGGAGGGCGTGGGCCCCATACTCCCACTGCTAGGGTCTTCCCTTTGAGATGAACGTTTAGTTACACTGCATTATTTCACATGTACATAATTACTTGCATACTGTCTCCCCCATTAGAAAATGAATTCTTCGAAAGCAGGAATTGGATTTTTGTCTTTCCTCGTATCCCCAGGGCTTAGCACAGTGCCTGGCACATAAATGCTTGTTGACTGACTAACTATGCATGACGTACCCATCTCCAACCAATCCTCACTTGACATGGGTTCCAATCCCCTCACCCCCTTGGTCACCTTCTCGGAATATACTCCAGTCTGATAAAAAATACCTTTTTCAAACAGCATCTCCCATACTACTCCCCAGATGGGGTCTGACCGTGGTAAAATAGAGCAAGACTTTAACTTTTTACCTTTTGGACACTGTTTCTGTTAATGAATAAATGCTTATTGAATGGAACGGAATGAAAGTGCATGAATTGCCCCCATCTTCCCCCCCAAAAGCTTTTTGTTTGCTTTGTCAGCCTTGCCAGTCTGTTGGTTCTCACAGCAAGGTCAAATCACTATAAGACACCGTGGTGAGTCAGATTATCACCCAGAGCCAAAGGAACAGCACACCAACAGATCTGTGGACTTGCCACATCAGGAGAAGGCTTTCCATCCCACCCACATTTCAGCCCTGGTTCCTAACATCACAATGCCTCAGCTACTGGTCCTCTGGGAAATGTTAATGTCACAGAAACAACGGATTGTAGAATCAACAGCTGAAAGTCACCTTAGATGCAAGTCATTGGATTAAGAACCTCTCTCCCATTTAACAGATGAGGAAAACAAGGTCAACCAACACAAATTAACTTCCCCAAGGTCATATGGCTAGTTACTGGTAGACATAGGTCTAAAATCCAGGTCTCCTGACTCCAGTCTTATACTCTTTCATTAAACTTCAACAGAAATATGTTGGAGCTGGCTAGAACTCAGGAGAGCTAATTGTTAAATTTCCAGTGTGATCATTTATAAGGTGGAAATCAGCAAATGCTAGAAATCAGGGCTTGATTTTGTTTTGTTGATTGTCTCTGGACTTAGGAAAGTGATGATGAAAATGTGAACAATGTTGATTAAATTTAAAAGTGTGTTATGGGTACTTTTTTTTTTTCAGAAAGCTAGTTGTTAAACATTTCCCAGCACATCTCTGTCTCACTGCTTCTCATATCCCATCATCCTCTTTTTCTCTTTTTTCACTATTCCCCAGCAATCGGAAAGGATGATATGATGAGTGCATAAAATAAAGAGCTTTGTTGCTGGACCTATAGAAGTAGACTGCTGAGCCTGAGCAGGCCACATGTGGAAGGAAGTTTTGCAGCTGGCCCAGGATCTTGCCTAGGCCAAGGGCTCCAGCTGTCTGGCAAGGGAGGTCTCCATGAGACCAGGACTTACCATCCATGTCCAGGCGTTGCATAATGATGGCCAGCTCCACCTCACTGGGCATGTAGCCCAGAGAGCGCATGGCCATGCCCAACTCCTGCTTGGAGATGAAGCCATTCCCATCCCGGTCCAGAACCCGAAAGGCCTCACGGATTTCTGTAAAGGGGAAAGGGAAAGAGGGTCAAATCATTGTGAGGCATGTGAGGACTCCTAGTCTGTTATCTGATTTCTGCTACAATCAAGGTGCCTCTCAGAATGAACAAGGCATAGAGGTGAGAGCACTGGACACCTGGGTTCTAGTCTCCTCTCTGCCCTTTATTTGCTACCTGACCCTGAATGGGCTACTTCTCTCTGTCTTTTGGCTGGTTGCTGTTGTTGTTTCATCTGTGGAGATGAGGAGTTTGACTGGATTTTGTGTGGGATTCTTTTGCATCCTAACATCATGGATTCGATGTTCTGAGGTTCCTCCTAGCCCTAGTATTCTTTGTTCTAAGGTCCCTCCCAGCTCTGACATCCTGTGTTCTAAGGTCCCTCCCAGCTCTGACATCCTGTCTTCTAAGGTCCCTCCCAGCTCTGACATCCTGTGTTCTAAGGTCCCACCTAGCTCTGACATCCTATGTTCTAAGGTCCCTTTCATCCTTAACATTCGATATTCTAAAGTCCCTCCCCAATTTATTTAGCTTGTCCATACTTGTCTGCATGTTGTTTCCCCCATTAGACTGGGAGGTCCTCGAAGGCACCAATTTATTTTGCTCCTCTGTATCCCCAGCATTTAGTGCCTGGCACATGGTAATCACGTCATAACTGCTAGCTGACACTCTCAGCACTGACATTACAGGGGTATCTGAGCTCTTTGTCATGGGGACTATTGTGTTTGCATCATTGTATCCCCAAATGTAGGTATTTAGTAAATGTTTGTTGAATTGGCAGAAAAGAGGAGCAGACTGACAAAGGCTTTTAATTGGGTTGCCATCAGACATTGTCTGCTAACACCCTTCATTACTGCATAGATATGCTCTAAACAAGAGAGAATTGGCTTTAGGTCAGACCCAAGGAAGGCCTCTGAGGCAGTGAGGATGTGAAAGTGCAGCTATGAGTACTCACTAAGACTGCGGCATATAAATGGGAAAAGAGGAGGGCTGATGTATTATGCATTAAGCTTTTCTGTAAAAAATCACTATGAAAATCTAGCTGGATAGCATACATCCATCTGAGTTAGGGTTCCCTGAAATTCCATTGTCTCTCCCCACCCTTTCCAACCCTGGGCAACCTTGACCACAGAGGGCCACAGAGAGCAAACTGAGCAGAGATTCCCTAGCTCCAGACCCTTGAAAAACGTCTGCACCAAGGTCTCAGAACCAGTCCCAAGGATAATCAATCAATTGCTAGATCTGGAGAATACAAAACAAAACTGTTCCTGCACTCAAGGATCATACATTCTTTTACATTTTTGTTCTGTTTATTTCCCAGGCAACTCTGTCCCAGAGAAATTCTGAGATGGCAGAAAGGAACCAGAGTCTAAAAAAAAAAAAAACGTAAGGGATGGGTAAGAGTCCCATGCTAGGAATGTTCTCCCTCTTCCCCTCTGCCTGCTGGAATCCCCAGATCTCTTCAAGGCTCGTCATCTACCAGTGGCCTTTCCTGATTGTCCCAGTTGTTCATAACCATCCCTGTATATATTTCCTATATATCCTGCATGAATTTACCTGTAAATATACTGTCTTCCCCAGTAGAAAGTAAGCTTCTTGAGAGCAAGGGCTGTATCATTTTTATATGTGTCCCTAGGACCCAGCACCTATTAGGTGCTTAGTAAATTTTCAGCAAATTGATTGATTGATTGAACACAGACATATTTTGCATTATAGAAGGAGAGACCCTAGAAGTTATATGGGATCTTTCCAGAACTTTGTTAAGGAAAGTATGAAATTGCCTGTAACCCTTGCTTCTGTTGAGCCAATGGGGGGCAGTGAGGTTTCTTGAGAGAAATAATAAAAGGTCTCATCAGGTCTCTGCCTTACCCTGTGACCTTGACCCTGTAGAGCAGGGGTTATTAACCTGGGATGTAAGGACACCCAAGAGGTCTATGGATAGATGTCTAAGAGACTATAAACTTGGATGGGAAAAAATTGCATCTTTGTTTCAATGTAATTTGTTTCATTTATAATACCATTTATTTTATTTTGTGATTTAAAAATAAGAATTTGAGAAGACATCCTATAGGTTTCCCCACTCTGCCAAAGAGGTCCAAGAAAAAAATAAAAAGGTCAAGAACTCCTGGTCTATGGGATGTGGTAGAAGGAGAGGCAATGACTAGGCCATGGGTTCAAGGCCTAACAGTCCTAACAGAGTCTGAGATTGCCAAGGCTAGTCCTACCACAATCCCATAGGGCCCCCAGCTCTGTCCTAGCCTTGGGATAAAGACAAGTCTCTTAGGACTGACATCTTACAGGAAAAGAGGATGGACCTGCACCTGAAAAAGCCTTCAGTTTCCAACTCCCTGGTCCTAGAAAAGTTGTGATGAAAGGGTCTGGAGCCCCAGATTCCTGCTGTGGTTCTGGCTCCATCCTCCTAATTTACAGTTGTGTTACAGCTATAAACAGCCTCAGATCAATACGAGTGTCATAAAAAGGAGAAAGAGTTTTATTCATTCAAAGGTTTCTTCAATAATTTTTTCCAGCCCAGCTGAACACTTGACTCTAGCATGAATAAGTCCTGTTTGACCTGACAGATGGTGCACTATCACCCCCATCCCATTTCTGCCGCTACAGCAAGCTCTGGACCCCCTACCCTCCAGAGACTCCACATCTTGCATCAGGTGGGCAGTCTGGCTGGCCTCTTTAGGACATTGCTCATGTCTTTCTCCCCCAAAGGAACAAGTCCCAGGGACCACCTCCCAACTCCACTAGAAAATCCCATGACCTGAAAGAGTCCAGGCACATGGTCAAGAGTTATATTTTCTGGGGCAGCTAGGTGGTGCAGTGGATAGAGCTCTGGCCCTGGAATCAGAAGGACCTGAGTTCAAATCTAGCCTCAGACACTTGACACTTACTAGTTGTGTGACCTTGGGCAAGTCACTTAACCCCAATTGCCTCACCAAAAAAAAAAAGCAAGAAGAGTTATATTTTCCTAGCCAAGACTAAACACCAGACCTGGTCCCTGGTCAGGGAGGCATTTATTACTTGCTTACTATGTGCAAAACACTGGGTAACCAAATGTGAGACAATCCCTGCCCTCATAGAGCTCAGAGTCTAATGAGGGAATTGGGGCATGGAGAAGAGTAGTGGCCAGGGAGAAGTGTTTTAGTCTGGAATGTCATAGGGACGATGACTAATATAGACTGGTATGGACTTCCCAGTACCATTGGCAATCTTGATTGACAATGGTTCCAGAGCTGAGAAGGGGTGGGCTTGTTTTTCTCTCTCTATGGCATTCTATTTCCTATCACCTTTGCACAAACAGTCCCCCATGCCAGGAATGTTTTTCCTGTTCATGTCCAACTCTTGGAATCCTTAGTTCCCCTTGAGACCCAGCTCAAGTGACACATCTAACACAAGACCCTTCACCATCCTCTTGGCTGTTAACACTGCCCCCTCACCAAACACACACCCTGGGTCATAACTATTTTGTACTCACTTTGCATACATTTTGTATTTCTCTATGCATATGTTGCTTCCCCCATAGAATATAAGTTCCTCTGAGGGCAGAAATTGTGTATTTTTTGTCTTTGTGATATAAATTTTGTAAAATACAAAATGGTACCAGGACTTGTACTTCTATGACGACAATGGTGGAATGATACACAAGGTAAGAGACAAGGCTAAGAATCACAGCTTTTAGACTAGCTATAAACACTGATCTAACTCTTCATATTCTGAAGACCAGGTCTTCATCCACTGGCCAATGAGTTGACAATGAAGGACCCACGTCTCTTCTGGATCTGAATAAATGGATGGCTTGACCACTACAATGGTACCTAAGGAATGTTAACAGGCTTCAGCACACTGCATAGATTCTCTATGTAGAACTTATGAATATAACAAAGAATACCCATTGGTAATGGATCATTATTTAGAGCTGGGAGGGACCTTAGAGGTCATCTAGTCCTAACCCTTCGTTTTACAGATGAGGAAACTGAGGCCCAAGGAGACTTGCCCATGGACACTCAGGTAGTAAGTGCCAGAAGCAGGATTAGAACCCAGGATCTCAGATTCCCCAAACCTAGCATTCTTTCCATCTCATCTCAGATCCATTGATGTACCCAAGTATGAAAAATGGATATACCTAAAGTATCTAACACAGGTATAGACAAACAATTTGTTCTTCTATTTACACCAAGCATGTGCTTTCCTGGTTCCTTCCTTATTCACAGAGAGGGCAGAGGCAGGCTTGAGAATCAGTCAATTATCAGCAGCCCAGTACCACAAAAGATTTTCAGTAGACATGATCTATATGCCTCTACTCCACCAGAAATGTTCATACACTTAACCCTGCCATCACCCACAAGCATTCCACTTCCATGTTCACAGACTCTGAAATTCTATTCTCTGATCATTTTTTACCATTCCATCTTTCCCTCTGCCTTCAGCCTCTTAGTTTCCCTGCTTCACGTCTCCCCACAGTCCAATTCATCCTTCTCAGAGATACCAAAGTGATTTTCCTGAAGTGTATGTCTCACCATGTCACTCCTCCTCTCATTAAACTCCAGGGTTGCTATGCCTCTCTAGGACCAGATATAAACTCCTCTGTTTGGCATTAAAAGCTCTTTAAAATATATGCCCAATTAACTTTCCAGTCCTATTACAATTATTCCCCTTCACACGATCTACAATCCAGTCAATGACCTTGACCTTCTTACTGTTCCTCATACACCGCACTCTATTTCCTGTCTTGTTTCTGGGCTGATCATTCCCCGGTAAATGGAATGCACTCCCTCCTCCCTTTCATCACTGAGAACCAATCCCTGGTGGGGACACAGCTCAGTTGCTACTTTCTCTATGAAGCCTTTTCTAATCTCCCCCCACCTGGCTGCTAATGTCCTCCTCTGCAAAATCATCTTTTCTCTATTTTGTCTCTATTTGTACATACCTCTGTCTCAAGGTATTTATTGCCTCCTCCACAGAATGTGAGGCAGCTGGGTGGCTCAGTGGATAGTGCTG